ACGACAAGATCGATTTCAAGAAGAAGAAGAAGACGCGCGAAAAAGAAACAGGATGGATCGTCCGTGGCCGATGTTAGATATTTCTTTCTTTCTCTCTCTCTCTCTCTCTCTCTCTTCTCTCGAGACGAATGGAAATCTCGTGACGAGGAGTTTTCGTGGAACTCGGTGGTACAGCCCTGTGTGTGGGCCGCGACAAGGTTCTGTCACAACGCCCCCGCCGTTTCGCACAGAGAGGTCTAACCGCTCGGTGAACGGAGAGTCTTACGCTCCGTGCTTGTATCGACCTTTTCGCCCGAAATGGTGAGACCGAGGTGGTATCCGTCGAATCGACGGCTTTACTCCTCGATTATCTGTGTCACGGAGAGAAAGAGAGATTCGATCGCTCCTCGCCTCGCTCCTCGATAACCCAATAATCATCTCCTAAAAACAGTTGCCGCTCGAGATTGATCGTTGGAAGAATCTCGAATCCGTTTGGCGGGTCGATTCTCTTTGCGATTTGCGGATTGTACGAGTTGTTAAAACGGCGATTTGATAAAAATAGAAAGGATGGATCGTGCACCGAGCGTAAAACCGCGTTCGAGCGTGGCTCTCCGTCTGGAGATCGCATAAAATCCCGGCTTAATCCGGGAATAGATGCGGGTATGTCCGTTTGTAACGCAACGCGCGCGATGCCCACGTAGCTTTCACGTAGTATTCAAGGGCGGGCTTATACGCGGGCATCGATGATTTTAAGGCGTCGTTCGCACGTTCTCTCGATAAACTAATGAATGCGCGAATACCAGGCCGATGCGGCGATGGATACGATTCGCAATCGACCCCGCGATCCTATTTTACGCGCGATCGATTCGAATGTTTTTTCCATCCTACGCTCGTCCAACTGTTGATCCGAGGAACGGTTAGCCTAGACCTCGTTACACCATAGACGAAACGGGATCCAGCTACGATTTGAATATTATCCAACGATAACGGCGATATGGATTTGACACCGTCGGGGAACAACAATGAGCCGCAAAATAAATTTAGCTTCAACCGAAACCTGTTTACGTCATAACCTCTTACGGCTGCATAACCAGCTTCCTGATATTTTCGTCCACTGTCACTTTCCAAATATCTCCGACTTGAGTAAACGAGGGACCCGTTACTAACGTATACTTGACGTATCGGTGACGTGGCCATAGAGAATGATTCGTAACGATTAAACAAGAGGGAAGACAGAAATACTCTAATTGGATTTAACCGAGATACCGTTAAGCATTTAGCGGTGCATGTC